GCGGGAGGATAGGCACAGCATCCTCTTTGTATGCGACAGGCACTCCACTGAAGTGTTGCTTAGCTGCATCTACCAGCTCTTTGTGCGAAATACCTGGCAACGGCAAAGAGAGAGACTTACAGTCCTAGAACAATTTAACAAAATGATCTGATTTTACATTAGAGATGCGTGACAGGGGTTTGGGTATTTGAAAATACCAAGGCTTCCCAGAATCACAAGGATCTAGAACTTACCTCCAGCAGCTGCCAGGACCATACGGGGTGCCTTGAAGTGAGTATCAACATATGAAGCCAGATCTGCTCGAGTCAGCCGCCTAGAGAGAACACAGAGAGAGAACGTCAGCATCTCTGACTTGGAGGAATGAGAGGCTTAGGAGAAGCAAGTCTGCAGTGCAGAGACAGCAGTGATTCTCTTTGTTGTGGGGTAACAATACCTTTTAGAAACAATACATTTTAGAAACAAGACTGTGCACTGTGTTTTCCCTGTGCTCTAAATCTAGAACACAAAGAAGGGGAACCAGCAGTGAAGATGAAGAGTTAAGCATAAAATTCAATGCAGATTGGAGAGTACTGAGCCCGGTCACTGACCTAATGCAAGGCCACTGCTTCAATGACCACCCTATCTCTTAATTTCTCTAACAGTGTCAAATTGACAAGCATGGGAGAAGGTTCAACCTGTCCCTTCTAACCTCAGGTCTTGCACTAGGGCTTCTAAGGAATGTGTGCAGCATTATGCTTTCACCAGCTCCAACGAGGAAAACACAGTCAGGCCCACAAGGAGAGCCCCATGGGCACAGATCACCTCCGTGCACACACTGGTTTCCTCGGGCAGTCACCACGACCAAGCAGCAGTCATGGACTGAACCCCTGGGCTGTGCCCTGCATCCAGCCTGTTGCTCACTTGATGTTCTCTGTGGTCCCCTCAACAGTGTGGGCCAGCGGAGTGCCCTGGAAAGCAGTGGCATGAAGGTAATCAAAGGTGACATCCATCAGGTTGCTGTCCATTTCTTTCAGCTCCCGAAGGATGACGCCACGTTCCTTCTCGATCTGAGAGTCCTCCAGCGCACAGTTCTGCACAGCGTCAGCCAGGAGTTCTACAACTGCAACACAATTCCCATGTTAGCATCCCACTGCCTGACTGCCACCCAGTGCTGCTGAAAGGAGAAGAGACACAGAGGAGGAGTGAGCAACAAACCACACTGGGGAGGGGATGCAACATAAAAGAGCTGAGTGCTGCCTGTTCCCACAGCACAAACAACACCAGTTTAGCAAGAAGTCTTCAAGTCAGATCATCACTGCCAGTGGAAAGCAGGCAACATCTGCAGAAGGTGAAGCATGTCAGAAGAAGGGCACTGCTCCAGAAACACACTGAATCCCTACAGAGGGTTTGTGATACCTACAGCATAGCCCATATCTACAGCAAGGCCCACAGCTCTGACTCAAATCGCTGCCTCTGGCCAAAACCAACCCAGAGGAGTCTGCACGTGGTAGCAGAGCACAAGCTGCACTCACAAGAGCTGCAATGAGCACTCCTCACACAGCAGCTGTTGCGGACCTCAGTTTCCCAGCTCCATAAAACAACCACGGACTCCTGAATTCCCCCGTCCTCCCTCCTGGCAACACAGTCCAGCCTGACATAACTAAAGCTCTTTGTTTAGGAACACATGAACTTGCAGCCCTGAAGCACCATGTCACTGCACTGCTCTCTTCAACTACCAACCAGAACCATCAATTTACTGTTCAGCTACTTCAATCCCTGGTTGGTAGAAAGGATGCTTGGGGAGAGAAACACAAGTACATGCACTTCCTTAAGTTCCCGATCAGACTTTGCCCCCTGGCCGTCCTACCTTTGGGCATGTCCTTGGACAAGGCTTTTATGTAGAAGGCAGTATGCTCACGAGATGTGTACCCATTCAGGTGAGCACCCAGACTCTCCACTTCCTTCTCAAAGGCAGAGCCAGGACGCTTCTTTGTGCCCTAGAAGGAAACAGATAAACTAAATCATGAAATGAACAACTTTCCCCCCACCAGGCAGAATTAAAGCAAGGAAAATAACAACAAAGACCTAAAGCAATAAAAACTGTCATATGATTCATAAAAGCCAAGAGCAAGCACAGAAGGCAAGAGATTTAAAACTTGGCTTATTTTCCCTAGATAAAGGATGGCTGAGGTGCATTTTCAAAGACCAACATAAATTCAGCAGGGAAAGAGAAGACTTACACTGAGAGACAACAGTGGTTGAAGAGCACATCTGTGGAAGTAAACCAAGAGCAAGCCTAAACCAAAAATAAGCAGGCGTCTAACTATCCAAGCAGTGAAACTCAGATGAAGCAGAAAACTTCTTCTAAGATCTTATCTCCTAAGGAGCAAGCCAGATACTGCAACTGCCCATGAAGGCACAGGCTGGACTCAAGTCAGCAAGTCCCAGGCTTAGATGCCCTCTGCCCTGTTCAGCAGAGATTTAGGTTATTTAAAAAGCAACAGCTGTAACCCCTAAGCTTCCCTCAACTGCTAAGAAAATCAAAGAAAAACAAATGGCTGTAAGAAACACTGCTTTGAGTTCTCTCTGCTAACCCGAGGAAACATGCTTCATACCACAGTGCTCCAGGTGTGTTATACAGAGGCTGGGACAGCCAAGGATTGGAACCACGATGTCAGACACTCTGTCTGAATTATCAATTACAGCATTTTTTACTTTAAGAGGAAAGACAAGTAAATAGCAAATAAGAGTCAACAACGTATGGACAGAGCATTCAGCGCAGCTCTGTGCAGGCCCAGCACACCTCCTTACCTTAAAGGCCAGGTGTTCCACAAAAAAACCAGCCCCGTTGTTCTTTGCGTTTTCATAGCGGCTCCCGGCCTCGATCCACACGCCCACCTGGCAGCAAAAACAGGGAGTGACATCAGAGGAGAAAACAATCAGCATCCTCGTGCCACAAACACAGCAGCAGGGACAAGAAGTCTGCTACCCATACATTACACCAGTAGCATCAAAAGAAGCAAACACAAGCAACAGTTTCCTGCATGTGTTTTGGCTTTTTATCCGTCAGCTTCACCAAAGCTGGTTTTGCCAGAGAGAGAACTCCTACTGATCACTTACTGCTCACACAAAAAATGTAAGGCTGAGAAAACTTGTAGAGCACAAAAGCTTGACTACAGACTTAAGACAACACCAGGCTGGGCCTTCTGCTGTTACATTAATCCAACAGTTCATAGAAAGTAACAATGGAGTCACTTTCAAAAGCTTTGGTTCAGACAAGGTTTGTCAGTTTTTGGAGACCAGATACAGGCTTCAAGGAAGCCCTCAACCTATCGTGAACTTACCGTGCAGGTTGGCTGCCTGGACTCCTCTGAGGCCACACGGAGCCCGTTCTCCAGGGTGGTGACCTCGGTCTCGGGGATATTTTGGAGTGTCTGGGCATAGGTGGCAGCACCTCGCTTCCTTGTCAAAGTCAATAAAGCTGCCTGAAAAGACAAAGGCTGTCACGACCACTAGCTAGCAGCTCCCCTCGGCAGGGCCGGGAACCCGCCGCGGAGCCAGAGGTTTGGAGCAGGTTGAAAACTCCAGGGAAAGCCCCACGGACAAGTCACACCCCGGCACTGGGGCGTGGAGCGGACGGCGGGCCCCCGGCAAGCCCCGCACCGGGAGACAGTGACAGCCGCCGCCGCCCCCCGCCCACCCAGCCCCGCTCCAGCCCCGGGGGTCTCACGGTCACCGCCGCCCACCCCGCGCCGCCTGCCGCGTCCCCGTGACCTTCCCGGCCGGCGCACGGGCTGTGCCCGGCGGTAGCACCACTGCACCGCGGGGCCGCCCGCGCCCTGTCCGGACTCCCCCGCCGGCGCTGCCCGCGGCGGGCATGGTGACTCACGGAGGGGCGCGGCCCCCACAGCAGCGCCCGCCCGGCCGCGCTGCCCGCCCGGCACACTGAGCGCGCCGCCATCTTGTCCCTGCGCCGACCGACCGACTGACGGCACCGCGCCTGCGCGGGGGGCGGGGCCTGCGGCTGGGGCGGGGCAGGGCGGGCGGTGGCGGTACGGGCGGGTGGCTGGTGGCGCCCCCTGGTGGCGGGAGGGCGCGGGGGGGCGGGCAGGGAATGGGGGTCCCGGGGAATGGGGGTCCCAGGGAATGGGGGTCCCAGGGTATAGGGGTCCTAGGGAATAGGAGTCTCAGGGGAATGAGGGTCCTAGGGAATGGGAGTCTCAGGGGAGTGAGAGTCCCACGGGATGGGGATCCCAGGGATAGGAATCCTGGGGGATGGTGGCCCGGGGGACAGGGGTCACAGGGAATGGAGGTCCTGGGAATGAGGATCCTGGGGAAAGGGGGTACCAGCTCATTCCACTCCCTCGGCCGCAGCCCCACGGCCCTGGAGGGGTCACGGGGAGAAGGGGCAGAACAGAGACAGAGGGTGTCAGGGCAGCCCACCTGCAGGGCGGCGCTGGGGGCCAGCCGGGTGGCCTGACCCAAGAGCGCTGTTATTGAGAAAAGGGCATTGAAAACAACCCTGAGAAACACCACATGGCTTTATTGGCAGTGCCAGCCCACTGCTGGCAGCAGGACCCCCTTGGCCCCTCCACCACCCCCCAAACCACGTCCTGGCCCGGTGGGACAGGCTCGTGCTGGGGCAGAGTGGGAGCACCAAGCGGGTCACCAAGCGGGAGCACCAGGCAGCCCCTCGCTGTGAGGGCCAGCAGCAGCTCCGTCCGGCCGCAGCCCCATCACAGGGGGTCACAGTCAGGGCAGGACCCTGGCGGTCAGAGTCCAGAGGGGCTGGTGGGGGTACAGGGCCTTTGGGCCCTGGGGTGGGCGAGTCAGTGCCATCAAGGTGGCAGAGTCCTCTTTGCCCACCCAGCTCCTGGGGGAGACGTCTTCCTCTTGCACGGCTACATCCTGGTGCTGTGGTCCGCCTAAGGGGGATGAGACAGGGAGAGGTTGGCTTGGCTGCCCCCTCCATTCCCCTCCACTCGTGATGGGGATGGTGAGGCCGGGTGCTCACAGAGGCCTGGCGCCGCTCCCTGCTGACATGCTCCACGGCGTCATGCACAGAGGGGAAGAAGGAGTGCTTGGTGATGGTTGAGCTGAAGAAGTTGCCCCGTTCCAGCTGGGCCAGCACGGGCCCTGTGTGGAGGGAGAAGCATCTAAAGTGATGGCACCTAGCTAAGCCCCCCACCCCCGACCCGAAGCAGCCTCCCGCCTCCTGTGTTGTGGGGGAACACCAGGATCAGCACTAGGGACCCACGCTCAGATTGGATCCATGGGACAACCTGCAGCACCCATCCCCTGGGGAAACCCTGGGCATTGGAACACCATGGAGGGTCCCCCAGGCCAGCAGCTGTGTGCAGGAGGGGTGGCCATGCCCATCAGGGGCTCATGGCTCTGCAGATCCCCCTCACCCGGGCAGCTGGCAATGAAGACATCCACTTCTATGTCACGGAAATCCCTGAAGATCTGCAAATGGCAGAAAATATTTTACAAAGGAGGAGGGGGGGCGGGCCACCCCACAGGGCCTTGGAGATGCCCTTGATGAGGCTGCTGCCCTGGGCCCTTACATTCTTCAGGATCTTGATGGAGACAGTATCCACGAAGCTGACAGAGCTGAAGTCCAAGATGACGGCGTGGAAGCTGGGCTGGGGCAGCCCCAGGCTGCGCAGGGTGGGCTCCGAGGGCGCACTGCTCTCCCCTGCACTCAATTCAATCACTGCCACGCCTGGACCGTCCTCTGTGTTCTGGGGGGGGAGGAGATCTGGTGTCATTGCTCTGGGGCTGGAGCCCCCTGGGCTCACCCTGCCCTACAGTGCAGTGCGGCTTGGTGAGGCTCTTTGGCTGCACGAGGGCATGGGCAGTGGGTGGTCCCAGGAGTGGGTGCCCCTCTCACACCTTGACCCACTTCTGGGCTCTTTTCAGATGTGTCGAGACCCACCCCTCTGCCCAGTGCTGCTCTCTGGAACCGGGCTCATTAGCTGGCACCAGGCCAACCTTTGCTCTTGCTCTTAATTCTGATTAACTTACCAAAAGGTTAATGACTATCTGGTTTCACCACCTAATCATTAACAGCCTGGCTTTCCCCACCGACCTTGGGTATGACGGTGTGGCCCAGTTCAATCCCAGTGCCTTTCTTACCCATTGGCCCCAAACTGAGCTGGGAACTCTGTGGGCCACCAGGCCTGGCCAGTGCATGGACAATAGGGTCAGAACCAGGCAGAGAGGCAATGCTGGGTGGCACCAGAGCGGTCCCCTGTGTCAGGGAAGCACCTTTTTCCTCTTTGCCTTTTCCTTCTCCGCTTTCTTCTGTTGTTTCTTCAGCTTCTTGAGGGCTTTCTTCTTCTTCTGAATGAGGCGGTCCACATTGATGCCGCTCTGTGAAGCAGCGCAGCTTTGTGTCCCCAGCTGCCCCACTGCTATCCTGGTGTTGGCAGGCAGGGGGACACAGGGAGCACTGTGGGGCTGGTGATTCTCCTACCTTCTTTTTCAGGGCATCAGCGTACAGCTCCACATTGGCAAAGTAGAGGGTGCAGGAGGAGCGGAAGATCTTCACGCCAGGGACCTCCTGTGCCTGGGGGCAGATGGGCAGGGTACTATTCCCAGGGATGAAGCCACCTGCTTCCCTTCCCTCCCTTCCCCAAAATGCCCCCAGCTCCTTTCCCCAGCGAGCAGCCGCTGGGGGTGTATTGGAACGCCCCCCCATTGCAGGTGGCTCTTCCCCCAGCCCGGTGCTGTTACCATCTCATATTCCGCCACATCCCTGTAGACATCGGTGTTGGAGATGCGCCCCAGAACGGAGTAGTGGGGGCTGCAGGGAACACAGTGAGGGGCTGAGGTCACCACGGGCTTCTCCTGCCCTCGGGATGCAGCATCAACCCCAGCCCCAGAGTACTCACAGCTGGGTGCGGAAGATGACCGTGAGCAGCCCAAAGGCCACCGAGGCCGCCAGGCCAATGTCCAAGTTCAGCAGGAGGGTGGCCACAAATGTCACAATCCAGACCATCTGGAGAGGGGACACGGTCAGCTGCAGCATGGCCTCCCCCGAGCACCCACAAGCCTCAGGGAGGGTGGAGAAACCCTCTCCAGGGACAAGAGCACAGCCCCAAGGCTGATCAGCACCTTACCAGGTCCACTCGGTTGGATTTCCAGAGCATACTGAGGTCACTGAACTGCTTAAACATGCCCTTGAGGTTGATGATGATTATGGCAGCCAAGATGGCCTAAAAGAGAAGTCTCTGCAGCTATGAGGAAGCTGAGGCAGGTCTAGGAGTGGGCTTTGGCTGTTCCGCTGCCACACTACCATGCCATGGGATAGGCACAGGGGTGGGATGTGGCACAGAGGCCATGGGACTAGTTGTACCTTGGGCAGGTCGTAGAAGAGCTCTCCGATCTTCAGGATGGTCACCAGGATGACCAGGGATGAGAGGACACCAGCTACCTGTGTGGAAGGAGAGAGGGAGGTGAGGGGTGAGCCCCCACTTCTCACTGTGCTGCCTGCCCCTGCTCCAGCCCCATAGAGGGAGGCAGTGTTGCCCAGACCCACCTGACTGTTGCCACCTGTGGTCTCCTGTACCAGGCTCCGCGACATGGAGCAGCTGATGGCAAAACACTGGAAGAAACCTCCCAGGAAGTTGCAGAGGCCCAGCGCAATCAGCTCCTGCAGGGACAGAGCAGCAGGAGGGCAGCACCATGCTTTCCTCTGGCTGCAAGGGGAAGCTTGGCTTTCGCCCAGGGCAGGGGCCCTGCACCTCAGAGCATCACCTGGTTGCTGTCCACTTTGTAGCCATGCTTCAGGGCAAAGATCTTGCCCAGGGAGATGCAGATGGCATAGCCAACCACGGCAATGGCAAAGGCATTGCCTGCCACCTGCCCAAAGTAGCTGAAATTAGGGACCACAGGTGGCTTCAACCTACATTCAAGACAGAGAGATGTGGCTCAAACAGGGGTGCTGTGGGTGGCTGTGCCCCTACCCAGCCCCTGCCACCACCTGGCCCTGCTCACCCGCTGGGGATGGTGCCCACCACAGAGATGCCAAACTTGTCATTCAGGTTGACACCGTAGGAGATGCCAGTGGAGATGATGATCTGGGGAAGAATGACTGGAGTGAGGCAGGGCCTTTCTACAAAGGGACCGTGGAGAAGGAGGAGGAGGAGGAGGAGGAGTAGGGCATGACGTGTGCCCTGGAGCTGAACTTGCCAAGGAACCCCATCCCACGCCTTCCCTCCCTGAAAGGGACAGGAATATGCATGGCTGCATCCCCACAGCAAGCTGGGGCAGCTCTGGGTACCGTGATAAGCTCGATGGGGATGGGCATGGGCAGCTTGGCGGCAAACTTGTGGTTGAGCTCTTTCACAATGAAGATGGCCACCATGGCAATGATGGCAGTCACCAGGGTGCCCACGTTGGTCTGTGGCAGCTTCTTGCAAATCTCAATGACAGTCTAGAGGATACAGAAGGAGGGAATGTGCTCAGGAAATCAGATGTCTCCCCCAGAAGGTTTATGAAGGCCTCTATGTGCCCCACAGGTGAGCCCCCAGGGGGTCCTGGGCAGCAGCAAGCCCCCACTTACCTCAAACAATGAAAGTGGCCCTGAGTACTCGCCCACGGAGACCCCGAAGACATTCTTGAGCTGGGAGACGAGGACATGCACGGAGGCAGCAGTGGTGTAGCCACGCACCAACGGGTCCGAGAGGTAGGTCACCACAAATCCAAACTGCAGGAGACCCAGGGCCACCTGAAAGGAGAGGCACCAGAAGTGACCCACAGCTTACAGCCCCCTGTTCTCTGCTAGACTAGGCTGGGGCCACATTACCTGGAAGATGCCTGTCAGGACAGTGACGGTGGCCACCAGCTCCACCCTGGCAGCATCCCGCAATGCCTCATTGACTGTGGCGTTGCTGCCATTGACAGACTCCAGGAAGTTCTCACTAGGCAGCAGGGACTCCGTCAAGCTCCCGATCATGACAGAGATGACGGCGAAAGGACCTGGGGACAGGTAGAGTGTGGGCAGGGAGCCCAAGGTGAGCACCAGGACCTCTTTGAGGGTATCTCTTAAGGGATCAGCTCCTTTCCCCTCCAGCAAGGCTCAAAGCCCACTCACTGTGCTTTGGCTCTGGTTTGGCCAATCACCTTCTTCATGGGGCAAAGTAAAGGCAAGAAAGGCCCTCCCCAACCATTCATGTGGCAATGCTGTGCCATGGATGAAGGCTTGTCCCTCTCATCCTCGCTCCCTCCCTCCCCACCGTTGCTGTCCAAGCACGTGGTCCCTCAGCTCACCCACAGAGTTGTGCCTTGATGTCCCGAAGAAGAAGTAGAGGAAGACAGGGTAAAAGGAAGAGTAGAGACCGGTGACAGGTGGCAACCCAGCCAGCAGTGCATAGGCAAGACCTGGATGGTGGAGCAGGGAGAAATGTCATGAAGGGCCAACTCCTGGCCCTCCCCAACCCACAGGGAGCCCCTGGAAGCCTGGGCATCACTCACCCTGGGGCAGGTGCATGATGCCCACACTGAAGCCTGAAGTAATGTCCCCCAGGAGCCAGTCCTTGACTGGGTAGCGGGGCAGCCAGTACAGGAAGGGCAGGAAACGGAACAGCAGGGACTTGGCAGCGGAGCCCGTGCATCTGGAGGGAAAGGAGTAGGAGCTGAGGCTGAGCACAAGTGCAGGGGTTTGGGGACATCAGTAGGGGTAGACAGGGCCCCATGAGATGCAATGGGTCCCATGGGACACCCAGCTCCATCCACTGGAGCCAGGTGTCCCTCCAGTCAGGAGAACAAAGTAGGGACACAGGTACTTGAGCTTAGGGGAAAGGATCCCGAGGTCTGCAGCTCCCCATGATGGTGGGGCTGGGCTGTACAGCACCTGGTGAGGTCCAGGCACATCCCCCTGGCCGTATGGTCCTACCTGATCTTGCGGAGACGCACCGAGGGCTTGGCGGGAGGTTTCCTCTGCGCCACCTCCTCCAGTTCAGCCTCACTCAGCACCTCACGGGGTGCTCGGTGGCTCAGTGCCATCTCTGCTGCCATGCCCACCTGACCTTCCTTCATGCCAGTCTACTGCAGGGACATCAGGGACAGCTCAGCTACATCCCCATAGCTGGGGACACCCAGCACCCTACCCGCGCCCCAGCCCCTCCTCCAACTCCATTCGCCACACAGAGCCATCCCATCTCGGCCAGGCAGGCAGGATTGGCCCTGAGGATAAGCATGAGCCGAGCTTTGGGAGTCCTGAAGCAGCGGCAGTGGCTCACAATGGCAGGTGGGCAGGGAGGGAGCTGAAGCTTCGGCAGTCAGTGCTGCCCGCTCCTGCCCCGCACCAGCCCCCTCTGCGCAATGGAATGCACAGGCGGGGTCTGCCAGCAGAGCTGCCCCAGGGGGCTCCCCCTCTGCCTGCCCGTGCAGGACCCACCTTGGTGCCCACCACCCTTTCCCTCCGTGTACCACAGCAGGGCAGGGCACAGCTGCCGAGCAGAGCCCTGGCCATCCCACAGCCCTGTCTGCAGACTTTGTCCCTTTGCGCATGAGGGGAGCAGGAATGTGAACCCCCGGCAAAAGTCACAGCTTTACATGTCTCTGGGAGTGTCCTCCCCTGACCACTGCACTGGAGAGTCGAGGTGAGCCTGTGGTCAGAGGAGGGAGGCTGGGCTGAGGTCTCACCCTTCTCAGGGCTGGGATGGTGAGACTGAGGCATCTCCGTATAGATCCACAGCCTGGTCTTGCTCAGGGCTCAGGCTGAGAGCTGCACCATCCTGCTGGGCTTACCCAGCTGGTGGCCTGCCTGGTCCTGAGGTACAACTGGACCCAAAATCCCCTCACACGGTGCCTGGGGTTGTGCCAGCCCGAGTCCCTGTGTTGCCCCGTTATCACTCCTACCTGCTGTGCCCAAGTTGGTCAGGAGCTGGCAGGCAGGTGCTCTGCTTCCTCCTATTTATTAAAGCCAGCCCACGATCTTTGAGACACCGCTCCCTGACTCCTGTCCTTCCTCCTGCCCTTCCTCCTGCCCTGCCGAGAAGCTGTCTTTTTCCCAGCCCCACTGCTGCACCAATGGCACCCACGGCACCCACCACACTCCCCTTCATACCCTGGTGTGCTGAGTTCCTCAGCTGTGGCAGGCTCAGAACTGTCACCACTGTCCTCAGAACCATCCTATATTGGGGACTGTCCATTCCAGTCTCAGCTCCTGGTCTGCAGCCATACCCAGGGTGCTGCCATGCCCAACCACCCATGCCAGGTGCAGAGCAGTGGTCTTCTTGCCATTGGGGACATCCTAGTGCCAAGTTCCTGCCAAGAGCTGCTGGGCACTCACCACCCCAGGGCACTGCTCAAGGTCCTGCCATCATCCTCCTGTGCTCCCACGGCTCCCATGGGTGTCCCTTGCCCACCCCATGTCCCAGAGCAGGAGCTCTGTCCAGGACAAGAAGGGCTACCCACAGCCTCAGGTCATAGCATCCAGAGTATTTTCCACAGCCCCTTGCTTACCTTGCTTGGAAGAGGTGTGCTGTGCCCTGTGGACTGCCCCGCTCTCCCACAATTTGCACAGACCCAGCCGTTATCTTGTTCCAAAGGTCCCCAGCGGGCACCAGAGTCCCACTGAACCCCTCATGCCTTCCCGGGCTCCATCGTGACCTAGAATTGGTTTCAGAGAATTTCTGAGTCATGCTTGGCCCAGTCCCATAGGGACATGACCGTGGAAATCCAGGCACCCGTTACTGACTGGTACCAGGGTGTGGGATGAAGGCAGTGGGCAGGGCCAGGCATCAAAGAGTCCTGGGTCCCCTGGGTGGTGGGATAGGGTTGGAGAGCAGAGTAAGTGGTGACATCCAGGGCCACAATTTCCAGAGTCAGAGCAACTCATCCCCCTCCCTGGTGTAGGGTAACCCATGGCCACCCTGGCTCTCCCTGTGGTGAGCATGACCCAGGTCCCACAGTAGCCACGCACCTTTCAGGTAGCAGGACTGAGCCTGCTCCCTCAACCTCTCCCACATCCCTGGCCCCTGCCGTCCACCCACATGCCCATCAGTCCCACTGTGGCCAGGTAAAGGCACACTGATGCTGACACAGGCACCGTGTGACTGTTGCCTCCTCATTGTTTATTCACTCACCCAGCAGAGTGAATCAGAGGCCATCCTAGGGCTCCTGCTCGGAAGCAAACAGCACCAGTGTCATTTAGTGCCTCCTTATCACTGCTCCTTGTCCCCACCCGTGCCATTCCTTCCCACATCCCAGCATCCAGCCCCTGACCTGCACCCTGGGCTGGCCACTCTACCTGTGACTCCCCCTTGCCACCCCAGCCAGCTCTCCCTGGCCCTTATCCCCCCTCCCCCCAGCCTCAAGACCTGCAGGACAGGACCACAGCTCCTGGCACTGCCGCTGCAACTCCCAAGGGCCACCCTGAGCTGGCCCCCAACTGCTTAGAGGATGGAGCCTGTGAGGGACAGAGGGATGACAATTGATGGTGACCCTTGCTCAGGGTGCTGTGGATCGATGCTGCCCTTCGATCTCCTGCTCTTTCCTCTTCAACAGGAAGGGAGGGACAGAGGGCATCAGGATCACGCTTGGCCTCTCCTCCACACACTTTCTTCTCCTTGCTGGCAGCCAGCTTGACACCGCTGAGGTCAGGCAGCCTTTGGACAGTGGATCTTCTTCCCTTGGTCTAGGTCTGATTGAGGGTGCCAGCTGCTGCCAGGCACAGGTCCCACGGCTAACCACAGCCACTGTGGCACCACAGCCCTGCTGGCAGCGCTGGGGCCACTGGCCACCACTGCAGCTGATCCAAGCTCTGGGTGAACCGGCCTGGACACAGCCCAGTTCAGGCAACTGACAGCACCTGAAGTCCCTGTCCCCTGGTCACCTCACTCTGTTCCAGGCAACTCCCCTTCAGCCTACGAGCTGGCTGGGAGCTCCCACCCAAGCCTCCTCCCACCATCAGCTCAAGCCCAGGCGCTGCACTCGTTGCCCCATCCGTGGATCCACTGCACAGGGAGAGATGGCAGAGAGGCCAGCACCATTTTATAGACTTTTATTTCCAAATCTGGCGCTTCCATGATACACTTTTACACAGCCAGAGAGGGGGCACGGGCATCTCCCCGCTCCCTGCCAACAGAATTGGGAGACAAAGAGAGGAAAAAAAACCCAACCAAACCCCGCAAAGGAAAAAACCCAAACCCAAGGAGGATGCTCCCCAGAGCCCAGGTCACAGCACTACAATCAGGGACCAAGCCAAAGACTGGTCTGCAAGAAGTAGACTCCTGCTTCTTGACCGGCCCAGGTCTGCAGGGACGGCCACCAGCTCCGCTGCTCTCTTCTTTTTGGCACTTGTCACTTGCTCTCCATTTGGCACCAGCATTAAGAGCCCCATACCCAACTTGGCAGAAACATGGGCCCTACAGCACCATAGGTAGGGAATCCCAAGACTCTGGTGCCGGCGCTGCACAGCCGGAGAGAAACATGTAAACGAGCTTGTTCCCAAAGGCAAAGATGGGCAGCATGGAGGGGCCTGGCTGTTCCCAGCATGTGGGGCCAGCAGGCTTTCCCTCTGCACACTGGTTCCGAATGGCATGTAAACATGTCAGCAGGCCCTGCTGTCCTCATCCCTGGGAAAACAGTGAGCCTGTCTCACCAGGGCTGTGCTGGGGGGCCAAGGCACCCCCCCAGTCACCAGCCCTTCTGTTCCCTCTGCGCTCTTCCCACTGACTCTGGGATGTAGCCAAGAGGCCTTGGTTTCCCCAGGGGCCTGGAGGACAGCAGCACAAGTCCTCTTCTGTAAACATGTCAGGCTGGGCTACAGTAAGATGCTACGGTAGTGTGGCAGTAAGGCAGTAAGGGGCATACGGTCACACAGCCCCAAGAGCACCACGGGGCGGCTGAGCAGAGGCACCATGCTCGGCCGGTGAGAGGGAGCATGCCAGCCCCCTGAGCCAAATGCCCTGACCCGAGGCTGGGGTAGGCACAAAGGAGTGTTACTTCATGGCAGGGCTAGTAGGAGCCCCAGGCCAGGCCCCAGGCTGAGCAGAGACACCATCAGGGCAACCTGAATTTCCAGAGAGGGCAAAGTGCTGTTCATCTCCCAAAATCCAGGCCACTCTGATCTGGGGTCCTCTGTTAGTCAGAGGATAGCAGATATATGCAGAGCTCCCAGGGATCCAGCTAGATACAACTTTTGTGGGCAATGCTGGACCCCGAGACTGAAGCCACATCATGCTCTTGCAGATGCTAATCCTCTGCAGAGGGAGCACTGGCTCTGGGAATAGCCTAGCCTGCTGCTGAGCAGGACAAGGGTCATCCAGCTCCTTGCCTGGACCTACAAACCAACAGAGATTTGCTTTGTAACATCCAGGTTAAAGAGCACAACACCCAGTGGGTAAAAACAGTGCTCCCTTGCTGAACAGAGGTAACCAGTATTGATGAGATTGGGACCATCCTGGTACAGGACAGGGCTGCACAGCAAAGCTTGTCTCCTCCCCAGCAGGTCCCTACTCCTGAATTTGCTGCCCCATTCGTTTGTGCTCTCACTGGCACACAGCCCCTCACCGAGGTGGGGCAGCCCCAAGGGGGAGGGTTCCATGGGAGGGCAGAGGGAGGCCTGGCTGCATGGGGTTGAGGGACACCAGGCAGGAGGAGGGTGGCAAGACACATGTGGAGCTGCACAGTGGGAGGGTGGGGGGCAGCAGGGCCAGCTGTCCTGCAATGGGGCTTGGGCAAAGCAGTACCAACAAAGACTTAAGGACTGCCTGGCACTGTCTCTCCAGTCCACTGGGATTGTGGTCCTCATAACCCCAGGGAAGGTGGTAAAGGGCTGTTGGTGAAACAAATGCTCCAGGTCCTGGGAACAGACCATCCGTAAAAATAACCATAGAAATTTCTTTTCTCTCTGATTACAAAGATACAAAAAGGTAGAAAACCCTCCCCTGCTCCCACGTCCTGGGCTCCATCTCTGTCCCTCTGCCACTGCCCACCCTCCACACACACACAGGCACACCCCATGTACAAACAGCTCACAGAGAAAGAGCTCAGCCCCAGCGGGTTGGATTTGCCCAGTACTACCTGTCACACCGGGCAGGTGATGGGGAGCACAGCAGCAGTTGAGAGCCTGGAGGCTCCTGGCAGTGGGTGGTGTGCACTGCCGGCCCCTCAGCCCACAGGGCAGGGGAAGGCAGGGTTGGTTTTGGGCCTCTGACCACCATCAGTTCTGGCCCCTGCCCCCTGGGGACACCAAACCTCAGCTGGCAGTGCCTGGCGAAGGGCTCTGCTTCTTCCATCTCTCTTCTGGACAATTTCGGCCCCTCAGGAATGGCCCTCGCTTCTCATTATTCTTCTCAGAGGAAAGAAAAACAGCATTAAGACATGGCATCTCCCCTGGGCTCCAGCATCCTTCCCCTGCTAGGCCAGACGGGGACAGGGCAGAGACTCACTCCCATGTCAGGGCAGGAACAACTGTATCCAAGTCCCTGAGTTCAGGGAAGAGGAAAGGAGGGATGAGGTGGGGTGGGGTGTGGTAGCAGCAGTACCAGCAGGGAGCAGAGCTGAAGGGGAAGAAATGACAGAATGGGACAGGGTCCCTGGGGAGAAACATGGTTGGAGCAGGCAGAGCTCCC